AGAGAGAGAGAGAGAGAGAGAGAGAGAGAGAGAGAGAGAGAGAGGTGGGATGGAGAAGAGAATGAGGGAGGAGTGAGGGAGGAGGGAGGAGCGGAACAGAAGGACGGAGGGCGGAACAGGGAACAGGGAAGGAGAAGGGAGGGAGAGGGGGAAGTCGATGAGGTTGTCGGATCTGCCATATTGGATGCCCACGCGGGCCTGCGCCTGGCTTGTCGCCGTTTGGCGGGGAGCAGGGCTCTTGGAAGACGCCCCTGGAGGAGGCGGAGCGGCCTCCTGGGCGGCGAACCCCCGTGGGTCGCGCCCTGCGTCGACGAGGTCCGTGGCGGGCCGCCAGCGGCCCTCCGCCTCGGACCACCGCTCGATGAGCTCGAGCGGGGGGCGCTGCAAAAGAACGACCTCCTGGTCCTTGGCCGCGTAGCCGCGCACCACCTGAAGGCACTGGCGGATGTGCGCGCTGTCGCCTGCGGCGTCGTTGAGGTACTTGCCAGCCGAACGGTAGCTCGTCAGGTCAACGACCGTGACACCGTCCATCTCCATCGGGAAACGGACCAACCAGTTGGAGTACAAGTGGGCCCGCTCGTTGCGAAGGGACCAAGCCTTCGGCAAGCGCATCGTCGCGCGCAGGAAGCACGGCGGCTGCGCGGGGTCGTTGCCGAAGGCGACCGACTGAAGCAGGAGGGCGCGGAACTCGTCGTGGCTGAAGCAGCCGAAGTCCTTTGGCTGGCGCAGCGCCACTGGCTTTTCGCCGCGCCGAAGGACCCTGTACAGCCACTCGTTGTCGTTGAGGTGCGTGCACGGCTCCGTCGTGGCGCTTTTGAACGACTCCGCGGGCCCCGTATCGGAGCCCATGTGGACGTTCAGAATGCCCTAGCGGATCTCGGAACTTCGGACTTCGAACTTCGAATTTCGGACTTCGGACGTCGGGATTCGAAGTTCGAACTTTGAACTTCGAACTTCGAGCTTCGAACTTCGCGGGCCCCCCAGGAAGGTAGAGGGAGGACGAGGGGGAGGGGGGGGGGGAGGAGAACGGCGGGGAGGAGGGAGGGAGGGGGAAGGGCGAAGGAGGGAGGACGGAGGACGGAACACGGAGCAGGGAAGGAGAAGGGAGGGAGGAGAGAAGACAACGAGATTTTCAAATCTCCCACGTTGGACGCCCGAACGGGCCTGCGCCTGGCTTCTCGCCGATGCGCGCAGCGCTGACCGCAGCGGCCGCGGCGCGGCCTTCTGTGGCGGCGGCTGCGGCGGCGAGGCGGCCTCAGTGGAGCCGCGGGTCGGCGACCTGAGCGCGGGCGCCGCTGAGTGGGGCCGCGGCGGCGGCTGCGCCCTGGCCCAGGCCTGGGCCCGCAGGAGCCCCTGGTCGTGCCTCTTCTTGCGGTCCGGGCACCCGCTCTCGTGGCCGCGCCAGATGCGGCGGCGCGTCGCCAGGAAGTCCAGGAAAACCTGCGAGCGCTGACTCCGACCCTCCTTCTCGTCCTCCCCGTTCTCGTGTCCTCCCTCCTCCCTCCCTCCTCCTCCTCCTCCTCCTCCTCCTCCTCCTCCTCCTCCTCCTCCCTCCTCCTCTCCTCCTCATCCACCTCCTCTCCCTCCAGCTCTGGGGGGGGAGGGCGCCCTTGTCGCGCCGACTGGCTCATCGCCGCTTGACCCCCTTCCCGGCTTGTCGCCGAACGCCCCCCCGCCTGCGCGTCGTGGCCCGTGCAGCGCCTGAAAAGGGCCGCGCACGTCACGGGGCCCCTGTGGAACGACTGGTTGCAGTGAACCAGCACGTCCCCTCCGCGGCGGAGAACCTCGAGGATCCCCGGCGTCTCCCTGTCGAGCACGCGGTTGTTCGCGAGCTCGTTGCCGCGGGCGTCCACCACGACCCGCTGACCCACCTGGCTTTTCGCCGTGCGTGGGTAGTGGTAGGGCTGCCTGTCGTGCGTGGCGTTGACGACCGCCTGCACGTTGCTGAGCTCCCCGTCCGACCAGTAGCTCTCCGCCTCCAACTGGCACCGCTCCGCCAGGATGAAGGAGCCCAGCAGGGTGCTGGCGCCGCCCAGGCACTGAGCGGGCACCACAGTGGGCGCCTGACGCCCGAGGCGCTGCATGGCCCGAACTGGCTTTTCGCCGTCTCGCCGCGTCAGGCGCGCCTGCTTGGGCCACAACGGCTAGGGTCGGCCGTCTCCGTTCTCTTCCTCCCGCTCCCCCGCCCGCTCCCATCCCCCCAGGAAGGAGGGGGGAGGAGGGATGGAAGTGAAAGCCCTGCCGCGGAACGCGGAAAAGAGAGACGACGATGAGAGGAGGAGTACAAGAGCGAGACACGGGGAAGGAACCGATGGTGGTACGAGGAACTGAAGGAGGAACAATGAAGGGAACAGAAGAGGGAGGGAGAGACGGGAGGAGAAGGATATCAGCGAGAACAGAATGAGGGAGGGGGAGAGAATGGTGAACAGGGAGGGAGGAAGGAGGAGGGGGGGGAGGAGGGAGGGAGGGAGGAGACAGGAGAGGGAGGAGGGAGGAGAAG